GAGAGGGATATCATTCTACTGTCATTCCAGTTGGAACAAGCTTAATGCACTTGTCTACATGCTTAATAGATTTGAAATAATCTTTAGATTTTAAATTTTAAATCTATTTTTTCTTCTTCATGTCTTCATGTCTTTTAGATGTTGTCCTAATGAAGCAAAAAATATATTCATTATATGAATCTCATATTCTAGCTCCTGTTCGCGTATTGTGTAAGTGAAAATCTTGCTCCGAAAGAAGAAAATTATTGGTAAAATGCAAAAATGCTTTCAAGGAAATATAAAACATATCAGTAAACTTATATTAAGTGTTATATACGTACATATGAATATAAGATAAATTTTAAAATATTAAAATAAACATTGATTGTATACAGATACTTTGTCCAATGTTTATTATATGCACTTGAAAGCAGTCAAACATATGAAGTGAACAGAATTAATTCACTCACAAATACTTTTCTTATTGGTTGTTACAACATAAACTAACTTCAAGCAAATATACAGAATTCAACACTTTGTCGCATACACTAACAAAAAAAACATATATAACATATAATTAATTTAAAATAAATACGTATTCATATGGAAAAAGTCCTGCTTTACTTTCCTAAGTCTCTTACTTGTCACAATCGATTTCTATCGATCATTTATGCCACAGAATCACTACTTGATTTCATCTCACGTTCACGAAAAAACCCGCGCTCAGTTTTACATTCTCTGATGGTAACTGTTTCCAAATTAACTGTTACATCTGTAATGACCACCTTATCGGATATGTTACATTTTGTTGGTAACCAAAAACGTGGTGGTAGAGCTTTTGGTGAGAGCGGCATTAATGGTAATTGCTGTGACTGATGATGTGGTGATAATGAAAGTTCACCAAGATTATCACCTTTTTGATTGATGTTTTGCTGTTCCGGTTGACTATCAGCTTGTGATGATGAATCATCATCATCTTGTGCATTATATTGTTGTGTTTTTTCAGATGGTGTTGCCTGTTCCGGTCGAGAAGCGGGCGTTTCAGGTGATAATGGTTCAGTTTCTGCTTTTAATGGTGTAGATATTGGCGTTGCAGAATCAACTGAGCAATGATGCTTTACAGCTGGTGGACCATCAGGTGATGTTTTTATAGTAACACCAATTTTACCTGATTCCTTGAGCACTTCTGCTTTACGTTTGGTACCTATAGCTATTTCTTTTTGATTTAAAGGTTGATCATCTGAGCTAGAAGAATTTGTATCGGCTTCAGATATAAAAGCTAAATTCGAGGAATTGCTATGCTCTTTTTGTCGTTTTGTTTCTGCATGCGTATGTGGTGATTCTGAACGACGTCCTGAGCTACGTTCGGATTTTAAGTGATGATGATGGTGATGATCTCGTTTCTTTTCCTTATCTTTTTCTTTATCATGGTGATGATGATGATGATGGTGGTGATGATGATGATGATTTGTTGCGCCTGTAGCGCTTGTAGCTGCTGCTGATGTAGTTGGTTGTATGAGTTCCGCATCATCATTGGTAAATGTGTATTCATCTTCTTCAGATTCCGGTTCTGGATCACGTTCTTTTTCCTTCTTTTTGGGACCACGTTTAGAGGGAGTATTTGATGATTTATTGCTTTGTTCGTATATTTCAATTAGGCGCCGATCGAGTATATTTACTTCAGGCTCCCAAGTATTATAACGTTGATTCCAACCCTTCCATTTGACCCTATACTCCACAACGCCCTGAAAGAAAGGTAATTATTAGTATTTCTAGACATATGAATATGTAATAAATAATAAAAATAAAAAGAAATGCGTTATAGATTGAAATTATTCAATGCATAGAATCGGATATTAAGAGATAGTAGAGTAAAAATAGATTCCGAAAATGATATTAACATTATGATATTATCAATCGTTGGAATTATTATCAGATGTCCGAAGACATCTGTTCAATTGCTTCTCTATATATAATATATAAACCTTATGAATATTATTATTATCCATTACTGCTACTCTGTGTTAAATAAATTATAGTTCGCAATTATAGAATCTGTTTCGAACTATTGAATAATTGTTTTTATACATATATAAGTATATATACTTTATTGCCAAAGGTAACGATAAGATTTTAGAACTAGACGAGTCTGTGTGTCTCGGGGACACTTGTCTTTTCAGACGATCAAGCGATGGCGTATTTCTCAATAGTTATAAAACTAGTCAGTTTCATCAAGCTATTAATATATCATATTTTTTTGGAATTGATATAACTAATATTGTGCCAAAAACTTTTAGAAAAAATTATGATTGGATTACTGCATGTTAATTCCAGGTTCTAGATGGAATGAGATCTACATCCAGAAGCTACTCACCTATAGAGACGAATAAAGATCTCTCATACTTGCTGTTTAGAGTCCAAAACTGAAAGCCACATGCCTGGGCTACAACTACAGAATCAGTTATACAATTCTGTTGTCATATTCTACTGAAATCCTAAATAAACTAAAAATTTATATACTTCAAAAGAGAGATAATAGATAAAGTACTTCTGTTTGATGGGAATAGATTTAAATATTTTGAAAGAAAAAGGCAATCCTTGAACCACTTTAGAATATTCCAGACATATCTTATTAGATATATATAATATAATCTTATAGATTATAATAAATATTTGTGATTCATTTTATCAAAAAGTTCCGTAAATGATTCAAAATATTGGGAGAATATATTGAGATATAAGAAGCGAAGAGCGCTTATAGTACACACGCATATGAGGGAGAGCAATTTAGTTTGGAATGGTGGTTTGTTTTTAAAATTCACTTAAGCTTAAGAAAGGATACGTTGTGATACTACGTACAGACGGATTCTAGACGGGCAGATGCTGATACTACAGCAGCATGATTCATACGCAGACCGGACGTAGCATTGTCACGCTAAAACCCACGATTCTACATTTAAGCGAAAGTAAACTACCCTAACAAGCCTACACACTTCACCAACTTCCTAGAATGACAATAAGGTCGATAAGGAAACGATCACCAAAGATTTTAAATCTCCTCCTAGTCAACGGTAGACATTGGCACATGAGAAGTAGTTTCCTACTCATCCGCAAAGCCAGCCTAATAGCATGTCTCCCTAGTGCACAGTGACCTGTCAGCACCGGTACCATAGCGCAGAGCATGTTACGATTTAGTTGAAGCAGCTAACTGGTGTGTTTTTATCCAATTCAGATAATATCAATTATGAGATTTGACAGGAGCATTTATCTACCCAAGTGTGTTTATTTAAGCTCAGATATTTTTTTTTAATTGCTAGCTTGGCCGTTTCAAGTGGTTTACCAATATCCGAGAGAACGTCTTGTCTTAAGTTACCCCATATGTTATTGCTTTCTATTTGTCCTTGTCTTGTCTTAAGTTACCCCAGATGTTGTTGCTTTCTATTTGTCCTGGACACTGACATACCTAGCTAGCTCGCTAATTGGTTTAACCTAGCATTATCGAACTTTTAAAGATATTGTTGTAGCGCTTACCAGAGATTTGATCAACTAACCTTAATTACGAAGGAAACTTGTTACAGCCAATATGTTTTGTATATATAGCAAACTATGTTCTAGAAATTTCTTATTTGAGAAATTCATTTACAAGCGAATTGTATGAATTCTTAAAGGCAATGAAGGGTTAAATCGGCTTTTTGATACAAAATTTGTGCTGATGCCTAGAGGCATGAATGTATAATTTTAAGGAAGCCCACTGCATTCAAATAAAGATTTCTTTAAAAAACAACTATTGTTTTATTAAAAAAATATATATATATAAAAACACTACGAAATCCTGTTGTTCAAATAGTGAATATTATAATCTATATAGACTTAAGGTATGTAACCTAACATATATATTTAATTGTGAATAATCATTAACCCTTTATAAACATCTTGCGCCCCAGGAATGTTTCTCTTTCACTAATTCACCATTGAGTAAAATATTTGGCGCGTTCTAACTGTCTATTCTTAATTCATCAAAAATATTGTAAACAAAACAAAAAAAAAAATACAAATTGAATAAAATACAAAACGAAAAAAAACATCAAAAACAAAAAAGGAAAAAAAGTCATCAAGGGATAAAACAAAGGATAATTGAAATCCAACAACAACAATACGAAACCACAAATGTTCAAATTCGAGTGCGTTCAATTGGAAAGAAACTATGGCACAAAAGGACAACCAATTGAAGTGTTTTATACGTGTGTTGGGATGTCTGTGAGGGCAGCTGAATGAGAATTCAATAATTGCATTAATTACAGCGTCCCAGAAGAAATTGCTGCAATAGCAGATGACGTTAAATACATCCAGCACGAGGCAGCTGTTAGCAG